ACAGATTGAGGGGTATCTCACAGGCAACAGTCATTTCCACACCCACTGACACCAGGGCTACATTCGGAACAGAAGCAGTCAGTGGAGAGGTAGGCAGATGAGAATTCAGGAGATGACAGAGATTTGGGGTTAACACAGACCAGTGGAGATTGGTAAGACCTGCTGTGAGCACTCAACCTCTCCTTTCCCAGGGACTTCAAACAGATCACCTGCAAATTTGATTTGATGAGCAATCAATGTTCACTTTGGGGCAGGAAGATTAAGATGTAGCTCACTGGTGGCTGGCATGGCCATGTCCTCCACACCAATGGTGGAAGATGGAGTTATCAAGATGCTACTGCCATCCGCAGATTCAGGTTGACATTTATCTGGTAGCACAAGATCATGAATTCTAACCTCAAACCGCCATAGCGTTTATTACGAGGGTGGTCAGTGATCGTGACTTGATCGGGCAATTCCTCGAACTTGCGTTTCGAATGATTTTCGCGGGGGATGTTAGGATCAGACATGGTGGTTCAGAAGAGAGTATCGATGCTGTGCGGCGCCAACCTTCAGAATGGGTAACGGAAGTTTCTCAGAGTCAGCTGACGTGGTCGCTCCGACTCCCTCGCACAGCGTTCCGAGAAGTGTTTCGGCGTCAAGTCAGCAAGCAGACGCACAAAGGACGGCCGTCAACGGTGACCGAGAAGCAAAACAATGAACACCTCTCCAGAGTGACGGAACTCAAAGGGACGAAAGGAAGATGCGCACAGTGGTGTGCTTGTTTTGGTTGTGGCTATGCGAAAGGCTCTCCCAAAGCTTTCGCAGCTATCGACGACCCCAACGCTAGACACTTCTACGCCTTTTTCTTTTGATACCTTGCGACCCACCTAAGGGCCCCCCTCCTTTCAAAATTGTTGTTGCCAAGTCAATGCTGTCTTTGTTCGGCATGGGATCCACCCATGGCTTCAGCTCCGCCGCGAACCCCTTCGTTGAACACGGACTTTCATGACGACTTGTCCAATTTTCCTCTCTGGGTCGTTCAGCCACTGCCGACATTGCCTGGATAATCCTTACTCGACCTCCCGCTGCAATCAAAACGAAATGCGATGGCCGCTTTCGTCAACGTGTATCGATATAGAGAGAGCGGGGAGCTGTAGAGATTCAAAGGATGCGCGGAGTTAGTTCATGGACTTCATTGCGAAGATATTTGAGTGCCTCAACTCTGAGTGAGTTCCTCCAGTCTCGTCCCCTTTCCACCCTACCTGGTTTGCCCGTTCTGTGCTGCAAACTTCACCTCCCCCTCCCCCTCCCCCTCGTTATTCCGCATGCAGCCGTTAGTCTAATATACTGATGACTCTGTGGCAGCTCTGGTCCCCTTAACCTCGTTTACGAGCGCCACGCTTTGAAAGCGTACAAGACCGCAAAGCACAGGTTCCAAACGTTGTATTGCAGACGTGACGGGCGTTTTTAACGATTGCCAGCTCCACGAACCTAATACGCACTCGAAAAGCTACACACCATAGTAGGTTACTGCCGTCCCCCTGATCATAAGCACACGCTGCAGTCGGAGAGCTGGAGAGCAGGGATAACGGCCATCTCTCCTTCGGTAAGTTATCGCCCTTGCCTTACTTATTCATTCATACCCTTCTCCCTTCCTCGACCTCTGAAT